CATCTAAAGACTAATGATTATAGGATCAATGATTAAGTTATTAGGATCAATGATTAAGGTTTTGTTTATAAAAAATTACTCCTTGAAAAATCTCTCAACTGCAACGCAGGGCAACGTAAAAGCATGCGCAGCTTGCCACTGGGTGTGCCAAATTTAAAATCGCAGTTTCGCAGTCCATACCAGAAGAAATTAGATTCTCTCGGAGAAATAAATGTATCAGGAATTGTGCTGATGAGCAAGTTGCCCTCTGCCAAAGTGATAATAATTTATTTAAATTCCAACAGAAAAAAAAGTCTATTTTTCGTCTTTCTTCTACACCTAATTTCCACTTTTCTTTGCACTACACAGCAGATTTTAACAAATTTTCAGTCAAACTCATCGTTCCAGGCTAATTCGTGCTTTCCGACACGATAATTAACATTCTTGTCTCTCAGACGGATCATGGTCTTCTTAAAGCATCCAGACACAGGCATATTTCTGTATCAGTTTTTCTGCACTTACTATTATTAATATTAATATCACGGTTTTTTTTTTGCTACTGGTGTTGTCATAATTGCTGGTATTGTTATTACTATATTGCTTCTGTTATTATTAGTATTGTTACAAGCAAAAGCAGTTGAGCGTAAGGGCGATAGCTACTTTGATCCTAAATTAAAGGCTAACGAAAAAGTTTTTGATAAAAGACAACTGCAAAATAATAAAGTTTATTTTTCCTTAAAAAGCAACTCCGGGAAGAGGAACCATCGACACCCTGTTCGCCAATGATTTCAGCTGGTACAATGTCGTTATGCTGGCCAATTCAGGGTGCTTTTGTCTTTCGTAGAAAGCGAGATATAATGGGAGACCGACCCTACATAAACTATGAAATTTAAGGCAACCAGCAAACTATACTCACTGATTAATACCATAAGTTAGCTAAATCTTGTCAGTACTGGGCCTTAATTTTTGAGTGGTCATTGAACGAGTTATCGCTTATCTATTGAAAAAATACCATCTTTTTTGAAACCATCCAAAAATTTTGTTGGATGCTATTAATATTGAATCCATAATGCATCTACCTGCTCGGTGATCCCAAATCAAACTCACGAGAAGTGCAGTTGCGTGAGCAAAACACGATTGTCGTAGTTAAAATTTTATTAAAATCTGTATGCGCACCACAGCACCACGCATCACAACCATCCTTTTCGAGAATTCTCCCTCCCTTCTTTTCACTCATCCCTCCCTCCTTCCGTTCCACCCCTCCCCCGTAGCCCACCAGCCCTCTTGTCACTCTTGTAGCGTCATTCAGTTTTTCGATTAGCAAATGCTTATCAGTGCAAAAATTCCGAAAGAAGAAAAATGTACAGTGACGGCTAGTGACACGGGGAAAAATCACTATCAATTTTCATAGT